GAAATTTCAGAGGTAATGATGTAGCTATGTTTTTACGCACTCGAACCTAACCAAAACACACACGTTGAGCCCGATTAATTCGCATCCCGGGTTTTCCCTAAAAACGTGAAACCAAATCCGATGCACAGTCACCCAGCCAGCCATTTTTAACTCGGAAAATGTTCACCAACTGTGCGATGACTACCCTGAAAGGATGGAATATTCATAATTACCTGGAAAAGCCGTCTAACTAGGAGAGAAGAAGAGGGGGAGGACTGCGGGTTGAAGGGATTAGTCGGATCAGACATTCGCCCCAACCCACCTGGCCATCCCCCCTGCCTGCTCCGCCTAGAGACCCAAAATTGGGACCCTCCCAAATTGGGGCCCAGGTTCATTTTGCGTGCTCTTAGGTCTGTCGATGGATAGCAAAGAATATCTTGTTTTTGACAATTTTTAGAACATTTTGGATCGGGTAAGTTCCCCGAACGACAATGGCTCTTTGAGCCCCAGGTTTCAAACAATAATATTCAATTTTAAGAACAAAAATCAATAAACTAGACAAATTGGCTTAATATGTTTCATAAAAATATAAATAGATGATAAATTAACAACACTTAAGGTTCCTAATGACGCCCTCCACGTAAAGAACCAAGATTGGGCCCTAAATAGGGCCAGGGCTGCCTGAAATCAGTTTTTAGTTAGTCGTTAGACACCTTAAAGCGGCTCTGGCAGCAAGCCCCCTTTTTCCACGACTCGTGGAAGCGTTGCGGTCGGGTACGTCGCGGCAGGGAGAGAAAGAGCGCGCCCCGAGGAGAGACGCAGACAGAACTCTGCGTCTCTGCCCGGTCCCCAAAATGCCGTAATCGGTGTGCTGCCAGAGCCGCTTTAATGGCCATATTTTGTGTTGTTTCTGCCAATTTTTCCTATGTTCTATTTCGGTTTTCGAACACTAGGGTTTAAGAAAATACAGTCTTTATTTCGAACAACACCAACGCGTCATAATTCATAAAAAGTACAGTTTCACGTCTAGCCATTTTAAATCTAATTATTACCCAGCATTCCAAGGATTCTTACAATATGCCGGATTCCCCGTAAATAATTAGCATACGGTGCCAATGACAAAAACAGTTGTCTGCGCTCTTTTCCAAAGTTCAGTCTGCCCCCAGGGAAATCACCCCTGATTATGACAAATAGCTTTACACAATTCACGGCATTCTTTTTTAGATCCTTGGAGTATCTACTAAATCATAATTTTTTAGACATGGAACAGACTTCTAGTCTCTCTCTCTCTCGCTCTCTCTCTCTCTCTCGTGTTTTAACGCCCACCAACTCCTTTCTAACTAACAAGCGTGCCCAAGTACAAACGACGTTCTCTGTGCGGTAGAATGGAGTTTGGCGGCGTAGCATTTGCTCGGATTTTCGTTTCTTCAGGACGCAAATTTTCCGGGATTGACATTTAAGCTGCCTGACCACGCCTACCTTTTTAAGAGAAGTTCGAACATCTCTTCGAGGCCATTCTTGGTTCTAATACTATTCAGAAATCACGGCCAGGCTACGGTATCGTCGCGGAATTTTCAAAAACGAAGGTTTTTGAGTTATTTATTGATCATTTTGACGATTCTTAAGCGCCTTAGTATCGCATTACTAATCGTTTCAAGTCTTAAATTCCGCAATTATGCAAATTAGGCTTCAAGTGGTAGAACTGCGTGAAAATCCCGAAAATACGATTTTTGGACTATCGGCGGTTTCTTAATTCATTTTACAGTTTTGTAATTGGTTCAAATCGAGTACTCTCGGTATTTCTCTTAATCCGGAAACGGAGCCAAGATTCCACATGTATTCCCACGAACAATTCGTCCCGCACAAATCCTACAACTGCCCAAAGATTGGTTAACATAACAGATCTCCCGGGCAACCTCTCCATCTTTCCCCCATTTGGGTACCCTGAGGTGGGGTTTTGTGTATCTTGTATATCTCCCAAGGGGAACCGAAAACATGCTTTGCCAAGTTTTTTTTGAAAATCGGCTTTAGCCGTAGAAATTTCCCTTGCAACTTCAATGCGGTTAAATTTTTAAAAGTCCCTTAAAAATGTATAAAAGTACCGCTTCAACACGTCTCTAAAATGTCATCGAAATCGGAAAATGCCTAGCTTTTATTGAATTTCGCAAACCCCTAATGCTTGTCTATCAACGGAAATTTTACGCAGCAGGGTGAAATTCTCTTATTGCGGTATTTTTAATAAGTTTTTATACTGTAATTTCAAAGCAGTTTCTACTAGTACCTTTTGAGGGAGGAAGCAAAACTACTCCAACTCTTGCTCACCCACTTTCCGTCAAATTACTCTGAACAGCCGGGGGGAATTCCACGTCCTTGTCATAGACTACATTCCCACGCCTACAAACACAAAGTACCAAAAGCTACCACTGCGTTAGACTTTTCGCAGTCGACAGTTATCGCAATAGTTAGAACTTTTTCTAGATGGTTTTTTTGTTCAAATTCACAGATCTTAGTCATTTCAACTTTTGAAGGTTTATAAATGTTTATGTTTTCAGATCATCTCATGAACTCCACCTACTTTTGCACCGTTTGCACGTCAAGTAAAGGAACTTCTTTATACTATGGCGGTCTGGTGTGCGGGTACGGTATTTTCTTCATACTAAAGACCGTGTTTTCAGGAGCTGTAAGGTCTTTTTCTTACGCACTGTCCGGAAGAAGTACACCTACAAATGTACAGCCAAGGGTAGATGCAGTATTAAAGGTAACGGAAAGCTTCCGAAAGACGAAAGATCTTCTCTCTCTCTCTCTCTCCCTCTCTCTCTCTCTTTTTTTTTGTATGTCTCCTGTCTGTCTGTCTCTCCTTCTCTCGCCGACAAAAAGTATAACAAGCTTTTAAGACGGTTTCCTGAAATGCCGAGCATGCCGCTACGAGTTGTGTCTAAAGTCGAACATGGATCCGAGCAGTAAGTTTATTAGCTTCACTTGTCTAGATTTGATACCTTTCTAAAGGTATTAGCTATTAAGGTATCTTACCTAAAGTCTAAGATGTTATGTGTTCTCGAGAGTATTTTTGGCTTCACGATTTTCCTAAAGTAAGCGTTTACCAAATTATTTCAGTCGTCGGAAGCTCTGGAGCCAGATTTTCGATGAAAGACGAGTTGCCAGATTTGGACCCGATTGAATGCACGTCTGATAAAGGTATGGAAAACCTATTTTAACGGCGTAATCTATTGGCTAGATCAAAAACCCCCGATTAAATTTTTTAGCCAGTTCTTCTACCGCCATCGAAACCATTCAAATCGAATGTCCCAAGTAAGTGAATTCATCTTAAAATTTGCAATACTCTTTTGTATACCCCAAAAACATTCTTATCAATTAAATTCCTAGAGCTTTAAATCATACTTCTCGACCTCGCCCCCTGCTCAACCGGAAAACCTGGAAATTGGTCGCCTCCAAAGAGATCAACGAGCAAAGGGCGGTGGTACCGTATCTGAACAAGGGCTTTTTGAGGACTACGGTAACTATAGATTTTTATGCCTTACCCCTTCAAATTCAGGAGCTCCTCTCCAGCTCCTACCTCATCGGCAAGCAGTTCATCGCGGATTTGAGGCAACGTGGCTGTAGCCCAGCTAGTTTAGCTACTAGGTTGTATCAATTGGAAAGGTAGGCGACTAAATTGAGAAATAAAAAAAATTATTTGAGGCAAGATAGCAGAGAGTCATTGCTAGAAAAGCCAGTTTTTGTTTGAGATGAAGCCTTCTAAAAATTGTCCAAAAATATATGTTTCTACTGTTTTTATGTATTCTTTGTAATTCTGCTAAAGAACGAACTGTCAGGCTGGCTAGCATGGATTCCTCGAATTCTTGCAGTAGCTGTAAAACCATGATAATTTGTTGGTTCAGAGCCTGCGACTTCCAAGACTCTTTCATGAGCTGTACACCAGTCATAAATTTGGATACTTCATTGTTAGAAGCGATAAGAAATCCTTTGGCTTTATGCGCCAGGACCCCGGTAAGTAATCTAGTAGCTATTCATGTGCTCATTTACAACCTCCGATCCGACCTAGCGCGCCAATCAGCGCTAACAAGGAGACGTTTTTTAGTGTCCAAGGAGTTTTAGAATGGGACCAAGCCTATTTTATGCAGAATTTTTCGCTTATCAAAGCCTACTTTTCAAAATTTGCGAAACAATCATATTTCAAACGTTATGAGGCTTTAAAGTGTGAAAAATGCCCAAAATGGCCAACTTTTGCCGTTTTTCGGCCTTTACGGCGTCATAACTTTCTTATTTTGGTCGTTTCGCAGATTCTGAAAACGAGGTTTTAAACAGCGCAAAATTCTGCATAAAGTAGGCTTGATCGCCTTTCAAAACTCCGTGGACACTAAAAAACGTATCCTTGTAAGTTTCCAAGATTTTAAAACTGCCCGGATAACTAAAAATTGTTTTTAGATGGGCTGGACAGACGGACGACCCGTCGAAGGCGGCATGGTTGAGCTGATACCGCTAATTTACACCCGAATCGCATTACACTACCTTGACTGGGTGGCCTCGCTGTTGGAGCTGATCGAGATGGATGAAAAGGATCGGGTGGGTTGAATTGAAATTAACATTAGAGCTCAAAAATACGCCCACGATGCTTTGAAAAACCACCCAGGAAAATGATAAAGATCGTTTTCCTCCCGCCTATAAATGAATTCCATCATTTCTCGCCCGAACTCTTGGTTGAATAAGAGTTTTTCGCAAAATTTTGCTTCATGGTATCATTAAAAATCATATTTTTTTAGTTAGCCCTCGTCAGCGCCCAGCTCTGCCAGCTCCAGTTTTGCACCATTGCCTATAACACTTATCGAGAAGGCAAAGAGGGCATCCTTTTCGGAGCAGGAATTCACTTTATTCCTCCTGAAACGCCACCTACGGATGAGTAAGTTTTTAGTTTTTTAATGGAAACTTAAACCTATCTATTATTACTAACCTATATTTTCCATTCTCAAATCAAACGTTCAATCTTTAGATTTGACAGCTTTATGGTCCAACTGTCCACCTATCTTCATAAGGAAGTGATATCGTTGTTTAAGGAGATCAAAATCAGGTAGAGCGTTTGGCTGTCTCTCTTTCTCTCCCCTCTCTCTCTCAACCTCTCTCCCTCGCCCCTCTCTCTCTCTCTCTCTCTCTCTCTCTCTCGTATATTCTCACTTTTAGCCCCGAAGAGTACGCCCTCATGAAAATGATCTGCTTCTTCAGCACTAGTAAGTTTGAGCAGCGAAACAAGCCCTTATTAATTGTTTTCAGCCGCCATCCTCACCCAAAAGAGTGTTAATGTGGTCCAAAGAGCACGAGTGAAGTATGAGCAGGTGGAAATTTTAAAAACTGCAAGTGAAAATCTCTTTTTTATAGCTGTTGATGGAATACATAGTGGAAGCATATCCGGACCTGAATCGGGAGGAGCGTCAGATGAGGATGGTGAAGATTGCTAGTGCGAATCGACATTTTTTGGTAAGAGAGAGAGAGAGAGAGAGAGAGAGAGAGAGAGAGAGAGCTAAAGACAGAGAGATGCAAGCCACAATTTTCAGCAACTCGGCATCCTCGACAACGCCTACATCACCAAGATGTTTTCCTTGAACATGGCCAACTTGCGCAAGCAGTACATTTTGATATGCACCTAAGAAAATATTAACTGTTTCTGTTTATTATAAACTATTTTAATTTACACCACATTAAGCTGAAAAGCAGAATTTTTAGATTTCTCACTCCCTTCTCGCTCTCTCTCTCTCTCTCTCTCTCTCTCTCTCTTCTCTTTCTCTCGATCCTTCTCTCGTCTCTCTCTCTGTGCCTCTGTCTTTCCCCTTTCTCTCCGGTTCTACCGAATTCCCCTTTTAATTTTCTTTTTTCAAATTTAATAAAAAAATTTTTAAAAAAAAAAAAATAAAAATTTTTTAATTATAAATTTTTTTTTTTTTTTTTTTTTAAAAAAAATAAATATATTTTTTTTTTTTTTTTTTTTTTTTTTTTTTTTTATTTTATTTAAAAATATTTTAAAAAAAAAATTTAATTTTTTTTTTTTTTATAAAATTTTTTTTTTAAAAATTTTTTTAAAATTTTATTTTTTTATTTTAAAATTTTTTTTAATTAATTTTTTTTAATTTTAAAAAAATATTTTTAAAAATAAATAAAAATTTAAAAAAAAAAAAAAAAAAAAAAAAAAATAAAAAAAAAATAATAAAAAAATTTTTTTTTTTTATTAATTTTTAATTTTTTTAAAAAAATTAAAAAAATTTTTTTTTTTTTTTTTTTTTTTTTTTTTTTTTTTTTTTTTTTTTTTTTTTTTTTATTTAAATAATTTTTCTTTTTTTTTTTTTAATTTTTTTAAAAATCTTTTTTCTCACTCTGGCCCTCAATTATCATCTTTTAATTTAAATCCTCAAAAAATCTATTTTCAAGCCATTTCTCCAAGATGTCGTGTCCGATTTCCGGCTCTTCTCTTGCACACCTTCCTCCTCGGCTTCAACCTAGCCGATGAGCCTCCGTCTACCACCCCTCTTCCACCTGATATTCCTCCTGATCCTTCCAACGCTTCAACCCCTGCCCCACCCACCCTCCCGTCGTCGTACTGCTACCAGTGCATGCAGGGCTGGGCCATCCCACTGCAGTGGCTCGCGAGGGAGGCGACGTAAGGGGTTGATCATTAGTAGATGTCCGACATCAAGGGGTTTGGTGACGGTGTCGAGAAGTTAAAGAGGTTCAGCACTTTTTGAAGTTACAGACGACCGACAAAAAGTACGCGCAAAAATGCTATAGTTGTCTTTTAGACGAGCCGATTTTTGACTATTGACATGACGGGCATTTCAAGACGTTCAGCTTGCATATAATTAAACGAAAATTTCAGTGCCCCTCCTCTCATCCGCGACGCCAACGGGACCGTCCTCAAGCTGGGCGGTTGTTGGAATGTGACGGTATTTGCTAGCTTTTTCTTAAGGCGCTAAATTAATAATAATGACACCTTGGCGGTACTCAGTGGTCCAATAATCACTTGCAGAACGACATGAAAACCTGCCTGGGCGCCAAGTGCATCCACGCGTACTTTGAGGCCGACTGGGAGACGACGGTCGTCGTCAGGAACTGTGCCTCGGAGGATTTTCTGAAGTATCTGCGGGACAAGTGGAAGCCGGCGCGAGTGACGGAGAAGCTGAAGCAGCCGATGCGTACGTGTACATATTTAGCTTACTGTACCCAAGTCTAAGCCTAAGCTGCCTTCATTTGGTCGCGGCACGCAATTTTTGATTGCGTAGGGCATTACGACTGTTAAAACTATGTTAAATCTCTTTTAAATCGGCGTGCGCTTTACTTGACGCGGCGCGGTCTTTGGTCTTTGGTTGCGCTAGGTCGAGCGCTACCTTGGTAGGCAACCGGCCGAGTAACTCGTGCGTTACGTTTCGTGATGCGCTCCAAAACCGCGAAGCGGCCAAAGTCCACGAGAATCATGGTGATGTCTTACGCGCTTCTTTAAACGCCATTGATTATCCCCGCGGAGTGAGACACCCAGAGCACACGTCTCATCGCTTGCGCCCAATTCTCGACGGACCGGGCAGCGTACCCATTGCGTGTCACGGCGGCAAACATAAAACGTTGGAATCCATAGCAAAAAAAAACGTATCTTCCTGTCATGCCGTTCCCTTTAATCCAATGCCAGCTGGATTTTCCAGACCGCTGGTGGCTGGAGATGTGCGAGGGTGAGCGCTGCAACAACATGACCCTCCCCGAAGTTGTTCAGTCGGCCGCCGAGCTGGCGAACGACAGCCGGCGCATCCGCTACTACTTCGTGATCCCTGTGATCAGCCTCTTTATTCCGCACCTATTTGCATTTTTCTAGTACTCCATTGTGATTTTTGTGATTAATTGTCGTGTTCTGATTGTCGGCCTGCAATAAATGATATTTACATTTGATTAAGGCGATGTAGCAAGATACTAAGGAACTATGGAGCGTTTTATAACATTTTGCATAGTTTTTAGATAGAAGAACATTATTAAAAATATTGAAAATTTTGAAAAATTTTTGAATGTTTGGCGAAAAAATGTATGAAAAAGCACAAAACAAACTCAAATATTGGTTGCCAAATTAACATTTCGCAACCAAATCTCCATCTGGGAACCGGACGCCATCCACAAATTCCCTGTGATTCCAAGCAAATAGAGATTCCACCACTTCCAGCATTGTTTCACCAAAAACGATGGCTCGCGTTCCGGCTCTTCTTTTGCTCGCCTGCCTGCTCGGCTTCTACCTGATCAACGTGGCCCGCGCCGACTGCTACAATTGCATGCAGGGCGACCTGGAAACCCTTGGCGACAACGACGTGGAGAAGTCTGGGATATTTTTTGGATTTTCTTACATTGTGCAAATTACTTAATTTAGTATTACGCAAAAGTTGTAAGCTTGTATTTTATCGAACTCCTCAATACGTCATTGGAAGGAAAAGGGACGATTTCCCCGGGGTACTGCGTTTTCTTAGGGTGGAAGATCGTCAAATTTTCCCTCTGATTCCCTACGGCCCTGGAATAAAATATGAACTATTTTTATAGCATTTTACATAGTTTTTGGATATACAAGGCTAGAAAAATTATAAACATTTTCGAAAATTTTAACTTTCTGCTCAAAAATGTTAAAAAATAACCAAAATGGGTCAAAATTTCCGAATTTTCGAAATTTGTAAAATCTTTTGTGTAACTTTCAAAAAACCAAAAACTACTAAAAATTTTCAAAATACAATAGTTTATCAACAGGTGCAAAAAAGAAAATTGGTTTTCCCCCTGCTAACCCCCGCCCCTCCGCTAACGGTCCAGAACCACGTAGCATATGCAAAAATCATTCCCTTCCGGGCGCAATCTTGAACTCCTCGGTTCAGGGCCATCTGGCTGGCGATCCTCGATGGCGTCGAGGTGTCTAGTGATTGCGAGAATGTGAAGGTGAATTCTTCGGCCAAGTCGCAACACGACGTGTTCACGTTGTTCAGGATTCGACAAAGAAGTGCACGGGGACGAACAAGTGCTCCCACGCTCACCTGGAGAAGAAGAATGACCAAGCGATCATCAAGCAGTTGGAGATCCGCACCTGCGCCACGGGATTTTTGTTGACGAACTGGACGACGGGCTACCAACGCAAGGAGATCCCTGGAAGTAAGTTTCGCTAAACTCCAGATACCCCCCCAGCCCACCCCCACCTGCCGTATCTCGCTTCCCTGTTCATCTACCGGTGTGTAAATTATACCGAAATACTCGCCAGAGTAAGACGAAAATTTTGGTATACTTGCCACACCTGTAGATGAACAGGGAGCGGAGATACAAAAGTTGGGGGGGGGGTATCTGGAGTCTTCCGGTAAGTTTCGTTTTGATCAGCGAACACAGGCGGTGATCGGAAGAAATACGGCATTTGGAATTTTTGAGCTGACTCCTCATTTAGGTCACCTCACTGTGACGGAGCAGGCATGCGAGGGTGATCTGTGCAACAAGCTACCGATGACCGAATTGAAGCAGCGCGCTGAAGAAGCGGCCAAGCACTCGTCGACGGCCTCGTACCTCGTGCTCCCCGTCGTCACCTTCTTCGCCTCCAATATCCTTGCCTTCTTCTGATTTGCCTTTGTGATGTGAATAAATTTGGTGGGCGCGCCGGAAACACTGGTTTTTTGTGGCAAAACACTGGTTTGGAACATCATTAGTACAGCGTTTCTGGGCATCATACTACCGTACTTCCTCTAATATAACCCCGGGGTTCTATTTTTTTAGTCCCCTCACTAGGAGCTTCTTTCCGCTCAGCTTCGCCCGAAGCCTCGTTTTGGCGTTCTGCAGGGCGTGGACAACTTTTTATCATAGTTTCTGCACAGAAGCTGCAAGCCGGAAATTCGAGGCCGGGCGGAGACCATTCCCCTAGTCATGGGAGGAAATTGCATTAGAGGGAGGGAGCCATTTTTCGTGATTTTGAGCAATCGCAACGATTTTTAGCAGTTCAAACGGCTCACAATCACTCGGAAACACCTTGTAGAATGGGATCCCTTGACGAAATCCGATGCAACGGTTGCTTATATCAGGTATTGATGGCCAAATTAACATTTTAAAACTGATTTCAATCCGTCACCGTCAATCCGTCGGAATTCCATATGAATCTTGGTAGAGAAATATTGCGCCGCCGCCAGGCATTGTTTCACCAAAAACGATGGCTCGCGTTCCGGCTCTTCTTCTGCTCGCCTGCCTGCTTGGATTCTACCTGATCAACGTGGCCCGCGCCGACTGCTACCGGTGCGTAGATGGCGACCTTGGGCCCCTTTTCGCTATCGCCATCAAGTAAGTAACTGGGACAACCTCGTACGCCAGAGAGGGCGTGGTATGGGCGCCGTTCACCCGGGGGTGGGGGGGGGGTAAGCGCGCTCTAGCCAAGGGTGTAACGGTCACAGGAATCCATGCGGTATACACGCATAATGCGCATTTGTGGATTTTCATAACGCCGATTTTCATACTGCCGATTTTACATTATACCGGTTCTCGGGGGATATGCTTCGCGGAGACTTCCATCTTCTCTCTATTTTCTCGGGATTTTTGCAACGCCGTTCGATAAAGCGTCGAAAAATATACTAAGCGTCTAAGAGTCGTTTTGGTTAAAAATATTGTAATATAAAAAAGTTATAGCAAAAACAAAAAAAAATGAAACTAGTGCCGAGATGTTATTTTTCGGCATTTTCGCAAGTTTTTCGATAGTTTGAACCCGTCATTCGATAGAGCATCAAAAACATATACGCAGAGTTTGAAATTCATCTAAAAATATTTTTTTATAAAATAGTTATAGCAAAAACAAAGTTTACACGCTGTTTCCACATGGGGCCGTGGAGTCAAAAGCTAGTTTACGACATTTTTTATATCTTTCACAAATTCCTTGAATGCCATTCGATAGAGCGTTAAAAAATAAATTAAGAGTTTTAATTACAACTCAAAATAGCATCATATAAAAGAGTTATAACAAAACGAAGAAAATTTCCCCACCCCCCTCCGCACAGTTTCCCCCCTCCCCCCGCGAAATAACAGTATTTATTATGCCCTAGTTTTTCGCAATCGATTCCAGGTCGTTCTAATGAAGCTTCTAGCTTTATTTGTTATACAAAATTCTAACAGAATTTCCATGAAAATATTTTCCCCTGACAGGTATCGAAGACTGACTGTTTGATGGATGGTTTTTGATTCAGGGTAATTGCCTAGGACAAGCGGCGTTTTCCTATTTTCAAAGGTATTTTCTCTGCGTTAATATTAACCTTTCCGGAAAATTTGGAATTCAAACACTAGGATTTATCGGGAGGACAATTGTTTAACACCCTGCAAAATACGCCAAATTGTCATTATGAAAATCGGCATTATGAAAAATCGGCATTATGAAGATCGGCATTATGTAAAATTGGCATTATGAAATAGTCGGCATTATGAAAATCGGCATTATGTAGGTAATTCATCCATACCAATGATTTCAGCCCCGACTACAACTACCTCGACGGCGCTTACATCCAGTCGCACAAGAATTGCACCACGGTTGAGGTGCGGCTTTTTCTATTGGTTCACTTTTTTTCTGGCAGTCGCGATCGTTAGCTTACATGATAGTTATACTATTAAGGCTAGGCCAGAGTCACTCCAGAAACAACAGTTTGTAGTACGATATGATAACCCTACTATATATATAAAAAATAGTGTCTGTGTGTGTTTGTGTGTGTTTGTGTGTGTGTGTGTGTGTCAGTTTGCATCCACTTCCGTCCGTCTGTCCGGAGGATATCTCAAGAAGGGACGGGTATTAGGCTCCGTATGATACGTCATTAGGTGCGCAATGGTCTAGGGATGACTGCACACATATCAGATTTTTAAAAATTAGCCATTTTCGCTATTAAATTTAGGTTTTTGTAAAAACCTCTTTCTCGTCGCGTTCCTTTCATTGTCGCGTCGTCGCGCCTCTCTCTCCCGAGGCCGTCGGTTGAAAAGTCGCGAAGCGGCTTTTCAACCCTGGTAATGAACCTAAAAACGGGTATATGTCGGTTATGCGGGGGGGGACAATTTGACGCGGGGGGGACGGGACAGGCAGGCCTTTTTGGATGTTTTCGTTATTTTCTCGGAATTTTTTCAACGGCATTCGATAGAGCATCGGAAAATATACGAAAATTTTTTGTTTTGGCTCAAATCAGTGTGTTAAAGAAAAGTTATGGCAAATAGAACAATAAGCTTTGAAAATCGGATTGAGCGGCTGTTTTTCCGAAATTTTACAGATGCCATTCGATAGAGCATCTAAAAATATACTAAGAGTTTTAATTTTAGTTGAAAATAATGTAATATAAAATAGTTATGAAAAAAACAAGTATTAAACGTTGTTTCCATGGAGGACATAGAAGGAAAGCAAGTTTTCGATATTGCGACATTTTTACAAAAGGTCTTTAGTGCCATTGGACAGAGCGCCGAAAAATATACTAACAGTACCCCCCGGCTTAGCCGATATATACCTGCAAACGGCGTCTTAATCACCAAGAGTTTTTACAGGAAATCACAGAAAAGTCGCCGGGCGACAAGTGCATCCAGGCGTACTTTATTGGCAAAGAACGCGGCGAATACAAGCACGCCATCTTGCGAAACACTGCGTCCAAGGCGTTTCTGGCGAAGGGCTGGAAGGTGGGCAGCGAGGTGAAGCCGGCCGAGGCCCCAATGAGTAAGTTTGGAGGCTTTTGTCTTGGATTCGACTCGAAAAAAATAGCAAAAAAATTGAAATATAGAAAATACACGGCACGCCCGTGTCCTCGAACGCGCGCCACGTTGTTCACTATTCCCCTAAATCAAAAATAATCCCTTTGTTAACCCGAAAGCCAAAAATCATTTCTTTTTTATTTCCCCGCCTATACCTGGCTTTAGATAAAAGCTAAAGCGTTTTTATGATATTTTTAGTGGTTTTTGATTGGTAGAAAGTTCTAAAAATCTAAATTTTTTTGAAAAATCGGCATTTTGACATTTTTGGCCATTTTTTATTCATTTTTGACCAAAAAGACAAAAATTTATGAAACTTCTTCAAATTTTTTACTAATGTTTTTATATCTAAAAACTTTGTAAAATGTTATAAAAATCAACTATAATAATTTTCTTGACGCGTCTGTCCGTCCGTCCGTCCGTCTGTGTGAAGCCGAATTCAACTCGAAGGGGAAAGGAGCTAGAGCCTAGCTCTCTTCGGATTCGGATAGAGCGTGGTCAGAAACCCCCAAACTGATAAAAAAATTATGAAAAAGTTTTAGTTAAAATTATTAAAATTAACTTTGAAAGTTTTTTCCTTAGTAAAAGGGGTGGGGACGGAGGTTGGGGTGATTTTGAACATAGTGAGCCAGGTCGCGCGCGTTTCGTGGATGAAAATTTTCACGGGGGATTTCATTCTTTTTTTTCTCTCATTCCATCCGGTCGGTCGTTATTTTCGTTTTTTAAAAGGATTTCGGCTAGGGGAGGTATCTGAAGCCATCAGGAAGGTATTTAGGTAGTTTTTGAAGGAGATTTCAGCCATGGGGGTATCTGAAGCCATTAGTAAGGGATTTAGGTAGTTTTTGAAGGGGATTTCGGCTATGGGGGGTATTGATGGAGGTGGGAAAGGATGTGGTGGAGTGGGACATGTAGGGTACCCGGAAGGCCAGATGGTTGCAGTCGCCAAGCGACTGTAACCATCTGGTGGTTTATAGATTGTTAAAGGCCCGTGCGGAATTATTGTGGAAAACATGGTGTCGCCGTGTTAAACCCCCTCTCCCCCCGTTAACACGAATGAACCCCAATAATTTTATTTTTCTTTCAGTTCGCTACGTGGTGGATTCGTGCGAGGGGCATCTGTGCAACAAGATGCCCATGGAAGAGTTGGAGCAGCTGGCGAAGAGCACCAACCGCATCGGCTACACCATGATCGTGTTCCCCGTCGTCGCCTGCCTCATCACCCGCATTGTCTAGTCGTATAGAGTATTTTGTGCTTTGTATTTGTTGCTCACCGGCTGTCGATTGTATGTCGTTCCGCAATAAAAGGGTCTCGACACGCTACACCAGACAATTTGTAAACTCAACCTCGGCAACTTAAAAATATACAAGGTGGCCCAAAAAAAAAACAACAGGTTTGGGCTCGATTATCTCGAGAACCTTAATGAATTCATGGTGGGTTGATGGCTGAAAACCATTTTCTCGGCCTGGAAAAGAAATAAAACACAACTTGATTTTTTCGATTTTCGGCGACGTATTAATACAAATGACACCCGGAAACTGTGCGTTCCGGGAAAGTTTAATTTTAATTTTTCTCAGCCACCTGTGGCGGGGGATTTCTAATTTTTGCTGTGTAAATTCTTGTAGGCAATAGATAGATACATGCAAAATTTAGGATTTTTCTGAGGTCTGGTTGAAAAGTTATAGCGGACTGAAATTTAGTATGGAGAAATTTAGTAAATTTTGGGTATTAAAAAAACCTATGGTGAAAATCTCAAACGAAGTCGTTGCCGATTGCCTACAAACTCTATACTACCACATAAACATATTAAAGACTTTTTTAAGATCGGTGATTTTTCGAGTTTTTCAACGACCCCCTGGTCATGGATTTTTTC